ACCAAACGACTTCAAAGATATAGATATTTATACTTAATTACACTTATTTTGTCTATTAGATTGTATCTTTCTTAAAGACAGATGGTATAGACATTTATGCTTAATTATACTAATTATACTTAATTTTTCTATTAGGTCATATATTTTTTGAAGGCAGACTATCCTGCGTCATATACTGGTTGAAATGCCTTATATCCATAAATTCTAAAAAATAAAAAGTGCAATAAATAAAACATTTTCATCTAGTAAAACAGTGAGTGAAGTGAAGTTGCTCAGTTTTGTCTGACTCTTTGCGACCCCATGGACTGTAGCCCACCAGGCTCCTCTATTCATGGGATTCTCCAGGCAAGAATACTGGAGTGGGTTGCCATTTCCTTCTCCAAGTAAAACTGTAGTTTGGCATAAATGTATTATGACAATAAAAGGTAGTGCTAAGATAACTTACAGTATAATTGCAGTAATTGCATTTTCTTGCTTGGGCCAATACTATTTTTAGTGCCTTTTAATGTTTCCACTTTTGATTCATGTTTTAATTTTCCTTCTATAAAATGTGATAAAATAGTTTCTCCTGACATATGGCACAGCATATACTTATTCTAAATATCATTCAGTTCAGTCAAGAGATTTTTCTATTAACACAATAGTTAAGGAAAAGAGAGAAACAAATTTGGCCATATGTGTTTTGGAAATTAAAATATTTCAACCCCATATCTTTTTTTTCCATGTAAATGGTTAATTTTATTCATATTTTTAGTTTGGCTTAGTTGACCTTGATCTATAATTTATTATACTATTTGACTATACTATTTGACTAAATTATACTATTATACTATCTTTTTTTTAAACTAGATAATTTCCTCCTAGTATTTCATATTCAACTTTTTCTGCATAAATTTCTCTAAATTGCATAATTTTAGAAGGTTTTTTTTTTAAATTAGGTGTCTCTATGTAGATTGTTCTTCATTTGGTTGCATATAACTACAGTTTATGTCCTATGAAAAGTGAAAGTGAAAAAAAAGAAAGAAAAGTGAAAGTGTTGGTTGCTAAATCATGTCTGACTATGAGACCCTGTGTACCGTAGCCCGCCAGGATCCTCTGCCCATGGAATTCTCCAGGCAAGAATACCAGAGCGAGTTGCCATTTCCTTCACCAGGGTTCTTCTCAACTCAGGGATCAAACCCTGGTCTCCTGCATTGCAGGCAGATTCTTTACCTTTTGAGCTAGCAGGGTTCCATGAAGTGCTGCAGAATTTCCTATTACAAGTTGTTAGCATTATTCTCACTTCTCATTTCATCTTATTTTTAAAGCCTTTATATAGTTTCTATATGATAAATTAAAATTGTTTAAATTCTTCTTTAAGTTATTTTAATTTTGTAAAGATTAAAAACCATTTTATAGGGCTAAATGGATTACAATTTTCCCTTTTCTCACATTTTAGTCCCACTATCTTAATTTGATATACTTTACATGGAATTTATTATTTACCCTTTTATTCAGAACCTCAGATTCTTTGTTCTTTCATCTTAAACACAGTAAATATTGAGAGATATCTACCCAGCTTCATTAACTGAAGGTAACTGCTCACAATTATAGGATTAGGTAAGGGAAATCTTAAACAGTATAACTAGATAATGCTTGTTATATGTGTATATGCATATGTATAGATTTGTATATGTATATGCATATGTATACATTTGTTATACATATTTATTATGTTTGTCTCTATTTTTAAGTGTCTGAATCCATAATTCCAATTACTTAAAATGAAACCAACTGAATTAATATTTTAGAATCAAATGGAAGAATTAATTAGAATTAAAAGGAAGTTTAAATGAAACATTAAAAAATGTTTAATTTCTCATGCTAAACATATGTTTAGCATCAGTTATATGTCAAATCATATCATTATAAGTATATAAATAAATTTTTATTATATTCTTGACTATGAGAAAAGAAGGATATTTTTGCAAGAATGTGGTTATAGTGGCTTGGAGTTTAAAAAGGTATATTTATGAATCTAGTCAAGTTAGATTTTTCATGTTTCCAAGTTTCTCTTTTTAATTCACAGTTTTCTAATCAGTTTTTTAAAATAATGGCACTTATTAATATACCATGATAGGAAAAAAATCACTTTTTGATTTTATACATGTCTATAACTGTTTGAGAGAGAAAATATTCTTTTTTGGTGCTATTGACATATAGGAGTCAATAAAGAGGATGAAGACAGTTTTCCTCCTTCAACATGAATCAGTTGAAAGATTGTTGCAGAGATTTTTTTCAACCTAAGTCTTGATTTTCTAAGTTAGAATATTGACTGAGTACTTTCTTGTGTTTCAATCTATTTGGAAGGTTGATATTTATTACTTCTCATTAAGTATTGATGTATAAAATCTTTTGACTTAAGTCATCTGATGTGTTTTCCAACTGTTCCTTTGGGGAAACTGTTTACTGACTCTAAGTGTGGTATGTGAATAAAGCATCACATTCATTCTGGTCAGTCTGTTATCCTCATCACCCAAGCTAATGATAGTTTTTAACTTGCAAGTGGAAACACCTGGTAAAAATGCCCACTGGGGATCTATACAGTTCAGGCAGAGACAGATAATTTGTCAGGCTATGCCAGCTTTCATCAGGAAGTACAAAATAAAAGACTTATATCCTTAGCCCATGATGATTTTTGTGGGTTCTTATTGTTTAGTAGTTTTCTGCACTTCCATATCAGGCCTTATGTTTTATTTGTCTAAAGAGGGAAGCCATAGATAATATTTAGCAAAAACACATGAGTATCACTTCATTAAAGCACATCACAACTAATATAAGTATCCTTTCTCCAGTATGTCATTTGAATTTTTAAAGTTACCATTATTATATCAAACCATATCAATTTACAAAGCATCTGACTTTCTCTTTATTGGTGTTCTGTTTATCTGAAGCTTTAAAATCAGTGGTTGATACATTTTGCATTAAGATAAGCAACTGACTCATTCAAAAAGCAGCTACAAAATGCAATAGATTGATTAGTTGTGTCAACTAAGCATTGCCTGTATTGACCATTGATTCATTTTTATCTCAGTGTCTAAAGAGAAGGTCAGTGTTGCTTCATATTCCAGCCTCTCTCCAAAAAATGTCAATAACATACTTAAATTTGCTGACTAGTAGCCAGTTTGGAAATTGTTGTCTACATCTTAGCAATATTAGTTCATTTTTGAATGAGAGGCTATTTCAAAACAGGTCATTTCAGTTGTCAAATGAAGACATTAAGCATTAACATTAGTGTTGGTGCATCTTTGCTAACCAAATTATTTTGTAACAGTGCACAGAATGTTTCTAAAGAATTCTACTATATAAGCATTCCGTGTGTCCTTTGACTAATTCAGAATTTATAGTGAATGATCAATAGATTCCAGACTTTTTATAAATGCTAGAGATATAGCAGCAGAAATAGAAAAATAATGCATCAGAGAAAGAAATATGATATATGCAGTGTTTGGTAGTGATAAGTGAAAAATAAACTTGGGGATGTCTACAGATAGTATAAAAAGTTGTAGTTTCTTTCTTTTTTTTTTTTACAAGGTAAAGTGGTAAAAGAAGTTCTAACCAGAAAGGTGCCATCTAAATAACACCCAGAAAGGATGTCATAATGTCATGGCAGCCATTCCAATATATGATGATTATTCTAGAGAAAAAGAATAGCCTCTGGGATGCCATCCAGAATCTTGTTTAGTGAGCAGTAAGAAAGTCAGTTTGTGTTGAGTAAGAGTGAGAGAGTAGTAAAGAAATGAAGGAAATGAGGTGAAATCCTAATGAGAAGACACATCACATAGGACTTATACGTCATTATAAGATTTTGAATTTGAAATGGGAACCCTTTGAGAAATTGGTCAGAAGAGTTACTTGATCTGCCTTCACATTTTAAAGACAAAGCTGGCTATTGTATTGAAGAAGACTCAGGAGAAGGAGAAGGGCATAGAGGAAAGCAGAGAAACCAATTGGAATTGTGATGATCTGGTTGAGAGTTATTGGCAGCTTGGGGCAGGATGTTAGTAGTAGTCGCTGAGAAGTGGTGGGCTTACTGGTAGGTTTGACATCAGAGTCCAAGATATTTGTTGACACAATGGAGGTAAGGCAATAAAAAAAGGAGGAGTTAAAAATTCCCCCTATCCCTATTTAGAACAAAAGATACTCTGAATGGAATTAAACCATCAACGGTGATTTTTTTAATGGAATTTTACTCTTCAGTTCAGTTCAGTTCAGTTGCTCAGTCATGTCCAACTCTTTGCAACCCCATGCACTGCAGCATGCCAGGGCTCCCTGTCCATCACCAAGTCCTGGAGTTTACTCNGCAGAGCTACAGCCACACGGCGGGGCCTGCATGGGGCACCGGGGTCTGGTCTGTGAGGTCCCTGAGCACCTGGAGCCCACGCTGGGGAGAGATTTGGGGGTGTGGGCGGGCACGATCAGGGCTCAGAGCACAGGCTGCCTGCCTGGCGCCACAGCCAGGAGACGTCCGAATGTCCTCCAGGGAACACTGCTGCTGCTGCTGCTAAGTTGCTTCAGTCGTGTCTGACTCTGTGCAACCCCACAGACGGCAGCCCACCAGGCCCCCCCGTCCCTGAGATTCTCCAGGCAAGAACACTGGAGTGGGTTGCCATTTCCAGATAGGTTAGTCTAGATCCATATCATTCCTAAGAAAAGCTCTCATAATGTTTCCTCTATTTGCCAGCATTGAAAGCAAATAACATTATCCTTAGCTTTAAAGAACACATTATGACTAAGAAAATCAGGAATACAAATTCTCAGTGGACTATGTTGTCCTTAAGTAAAATGTTATGGTTACTGGAGCATGTATGGGTTACTAATAAAAACTTTTTGAAAGCTTTTTTTTTTAAAATTTTAAAGATACATTAAAAAGATAGAACTGACTTTTAGTGAGTAATACAAAATTATCTTAAACATGTGACTTTTACCCAACTCACTTTCCTCTTTCTGTCTTATTCCAGAACCTACAGATAAACCACCTTTGCTATTAATTGCAAATTCTGAAATGATTGAGATTTTCTATCTTAATGGAAGTAAGATGGCAACCCTGAGCTCGGTAAATGGAAATGAAATTCATACTCTGGATTTTATTTACAATGAAGATATGATTTGTTGGATTGAATCAAGAGAATCTTCAAATCAGCTCAAGTGTATTCAGATAACAAAAACAGGAAGATTAACAGATGAATGGACGATCAGTATTCTTCAGTCCTTCCACAGTGAGTTTCAAATTATTTTATATGCCATCCTTTAAGGATTTCATTTACAGACCAGTTGACAGGATTCTTAGATTTCCCAGAATAGCTACTGGCTTCAAGAAAACTATCTATCCAAATATGAATGCACTTAAATAAGTGTATCCCCTGCATGTTTTGCATATATACACATAAACATAGAATCGCACTGTTATATAAGCAATACATTGAAGGGTTAATTTTAATTATTTCTTTAATGCTTATTATCATATCACCTAGATGAGAACTGTGACTTTTCACTGAATGATAATTTACAATGTGTGATAGTGAAGGTGGGGATAAACAAAACAGCAAAAAAAAAAACCACCATGCTTCTCTGTCCATGGGATTCTCCAGGAAAGAGGAGGTTGCCATGCCATGCCCTTCTCCAGGGGATCTTCCTGACCCAGGGATTGAACCCATGTCTCCTGTGTCTCCTGCATTGCAGGCAGAATCTTTACTGCTGAGCCAACAGTTGGTAGAGAAATGAAAACAATGTACAGTCAAGTTAAGGAGGAAAAAAATAAGAGTATGGTGGTAGAGTAAATGCAGTTTTCAGATATAGAACATTTGGTGTTTGAATTCAATAATCTTATTAATGTTTGTGATATATAATTAAAGAGATTAGTAATTGATCCTTAGTAAATGTAAGAAAATATTACTGTGTAATGTTTGATAATTACGATTAGGTTAAATAAAAGCAGTGGCAAAGGTTGTAAGAAAAATGAAATATGAAGTGAACAGAAGTAAATGTTTAACTAATAGAATATAGCATTTTGAAGATTGTCTTAACATAGGTAGAACAGTTAGTAAGGTTGTTTATTGTGACAGTGGACCAAAAATGTCTAGTGAAAACAATGGGCAATGTCTCTTGTGAAGATTCTATGGAGAGATGATAATTCATAATAAACAGTAAATAAGTAGTGATCATAGCACAATGAATCCTTTTATGTGATATGAGTATTTCAGACATTGATTTAGCCAGTAGTTGGGAATCATTTGAACAAAAGACCCTCATTTCTGCCATGTTAGTGATTACCTCAAGTAATCCAAATGTATTTGTCCATAGCAAATGGAATATCGGCAGTCAAATAGCTAGAATATTCACTTAAGTTGTCAGGTAAAATTATTTTCCAAGTGTACTTAATTAACTGCTTTTCTACATTTAGTATGCCCTAATAATAGGAGTGATCCTTTCTTTAATATGTATTTTTCAAGAAACTTTAATAATATATCTCAAATTGGTCAAGCAATAATACATTAGAATATTCATAGAAAATAATTCATAACTTAGATAGCATGCAATTTATAGATAATTCTTGGCGAATTAGAGAAACTAGAGATTGATTTTGTTAGGCAGTTCACTAAACTGATGAAAATAACTTTCATTTTGAACTATAGAAAATAAATGCAATGGAAACATTTTAATTAGAATAAATAATTGTTAATGAAGTCAGATTTAAGCCATGCAGTCAGTCACTTTAGAAAAGTGTGATTAAATATGTGGAAGTAAGTCATGGGACAGAGATGTGATCATGGCTGGGCATCTTAGTCATTGCTTGTAAGCTGTGTATTTTATCAGCATGTCACAGAACAGTTGCCAGTGGATGTAATGGGCTCTGCATTCATCATAACAGTTTGTGGGTTAATAATGAAGTTTGAATATTCTTTGCATATATAATTGCATAAAAATCTCTTCACCGTATAAGCAAAAATAATGACCTGATGGGCGTGTGCCTGAATACCTGTCACTATCCACTGCTCCAGAGATTCTCTGTTTAGGTTCTCCTCCCTCATTATCTTTAGATACTTTTCTCTGAATTTACCTCAAGAAAACATTCTTTTCTGAATAAAATAAAAAATTTTATTTTTCAAAGGAAAACTGTGAGGTGAGTCAGAACGTTGGTAGATGCCAGGGGCCTGATGGGTGCAGGGGAATAGAGAGTTAGTGTTCAATGGGGACAGGGTTTTGATTTAGGAAAGTGAAAAACTGGGGAGACGGATGATGGTGAGAGTTGCACAACAGTGTGAATGTACTTATGCCACTGAACTGTACAGTTAAATACGGTATGGTTAAAATAGTGTGTTTTATATTATTTGATTTTTACCACAATAAAAAATTAAGAAAAAGATCACTATAGGGAGAAAAGCATTACAGGTCAAACCCACTTGAGTTTAAAACTTAAATAGTACTTTAGTACACAATCTATTACAACATAAAAATTTTATTGCACACCTTATCTCGCTGAATACTCACCATATCTCTGTGGAGTGTGCAGGAGAGATATTCTCTTCCTGTTTTATAAGATATACAGTTTTAACTACAAGACTCAGATATATTAAGCAATACTGAATGTCTAAAAAGAAGACAGAAATAAGACATCTAAATCCTGTGTTCTTGCTTCTACATTAAGAAGGGCAAATATGAGTCCCTTCAAAGAATTTCCCAAGTCTACCACAAATAATAATATCTACTTCCCTCATAGTTCAATCAGTAAAGAATCTGCCTGTGGTCAGGAGACCTGGGTGCGATTCCTGGGTTGGAAAGATCCTCTAGAGAAGGAGATGGCAACCCACTTTAGTAGAATCCTGGGGTATGCCTGGAGAATCCCACAGACAGAGGACCCTAGCTGGCTAGAGTCCATGGGATTGCAGGAGTCAGATATGACTTAGTGACGAAACCACCATCACCAAACTTAAATGCACTAAATGACTATATGCAATGGGGAGGCATTGCTATATTCCTCATGCTGAAGGGGAAATTGAGATCCTGAACTGGGTCAGGCTTCTTACCCTTTGCTACACACACTGCGCAATGGTCTTAATTTTTAGTTTTCATTTTAGACAGCCAAATTGTCAGGTACACTAACATTAGAAACAGTGGCTCACAAAGGCAGTGTGAGACAGCTATATAAGAATCTTAGAAGGAAGTGAACAAGGTGAGTGGTACAAGGCCTAACTTTTTCAGCCCAAACAAATGATTCTCAATATTAAAGAGAGGCCTACCTTTAATATTGAGAATCATGCCTAAGCAATATTGTGAGAGAATGAGGAATTGATAATAATATGCTCAATAAATTATATTGACAAAGGAATATTGGGAAAGATGCTAGAAATTGTATTTCAACTTTAATTTATTCTTTTTAAAGATGCCTAGTATTTATTAGCTAGTATTTTTGCCTAAAAGTTACAAAATACTAGATTTTGAAGAAAAGTTTGGAATTAAGTGTTCTATAAGCCACATATGTTCTCCAGGTATGAATGCAAAGCACGTTTACAGCAACTAGCTATTTCCCCCAAAGTACTATAGTATGAACATAGAATCACCTAACAGTGGAAATGCTCAGCTATTTCCTCAGGACAAAGTACATGAAGATGATTGAGACAGATAAGAATATTTTCTGCATGTATCTCTTATTCAGGAAGATGACTGAGGACCAGTTTTTCTCTTCCAGATATATAGTTGACACTTTCAGTCTATTTTTGTATATATTCAATATTCTTCAAAACTTGAGTATCACCATTCTACTCTAGACTTTACTAGGTTGTCTTCATCCATTCATGTGTTCCACTATCTAGCAAACAGCATGCTGGGTCAAAAGCAAATAGATTGTTTATTCTTCATACACTTCGCTTCTGGATTAACCCCAATTCACTGACTTTTATCTTCCTTTTATTTGGTCTGTTTCAATATCAACCTTAGCTTATTTTCCATTTGAAGCTCTACCTAAGATCCTTTGTTGGATAATTTTTGGATTCTAATACTTTGCCTATGTCTTTTCTCAATCTTTACTTCTTTTTCTTTAGGTAGTAATTATCTAGATAATCACATAATATTAACAGATGATATTTACTGAATTTTATTTTATACATTAACAATTATGCATATGTATTTCTCTATCATTACAAAGATTATATGATATGCATGCTGTATAAAATAGTTATATAAGGTTAAATAAGTTAAATAATTTTTAAGTTAATAAGAAACTTGACCTCTTAATCTCAATAGTTACTAAATAATGGCCTTTATTAATTATGAAATATTCCCTATTTGCTTCTACCCAGCCTAGGAATTTCATAGCCTTCAGTGCTTCACCCACCATCAAGAGAAAAATGACAAGACTGTGTCCCTATTGTAAATGCAAGCATAGTCTTAGGACAAAATAATCAACCTATAACAGAAATGCTAGACACACACAGTGTCAGCTCCTAGTGGGTCTGCACTTTAGAAGATTATCAGCAGTTGCAGCAACTCCCTAAGATAACACAGTATGATATAAAATCATGCAATCCTCATAGAAATTTGGCATACTTTATTTATAAGTCACATGCTTAAATACTGCATTTTTATGAGCTATCCTCTGCAATTATCTTTCTCCATTTGATGAGTAAAAAGTCATTCATATTGCTTTAATTTACCTTTATATGATTGCTAGTGAAGTTGTCTATTCCAATATGAACTTACATATTCACTTCGGTCTCTACAGTTCTGTTCAAGTGATCATGATGCTCCATTGCTTAAAATCAAAATGCAAAATATTTAGTAGTTTCCCATTTAGCTAAGGATAGAATTAAGGTTCATCATATGGCTTCTCTACAGGCCTTGCCTCCCCACCTCAAATCACGTTCCACCTAAAAAAAGTAGCAACGCTTTCTTTTTGTACTTTGTTTTATAACTTTCATATGTGTTTGTATGTGCTGATTCTTCACTATAGACTGTATTTTGTCATATATCTATAACCTAGTATCTCTTACTCATTCTTCAAAGTATCATATCCTTTTCAAAGATTTTCCAGTTGAGATTAGCAGCCCTTCTTATGTGACTCTAGGACATCATAGTACAGATGTGAGGTATTTTAATTGTGTATTTACCTGTCAGTTTCCCAAATAAAAGGTAACTCCTTTAAGTTTAGACTTGCTTTGTAGCTCAGATGGTACAGAATCTACCTGCAGTGCAGGAGACCTGGGTTTGATCCCTGGGTTGG